CAAAGCCAATCCCGAGCGCACATTAAATCTTCTAAAGCCGGTAGCTCCTTTTATTAAGGCCCTGTTTGGTGGGAATTCTCAAAATTCTACAGTAAATCAATTATTATTTTCAACCACACATTTTTCAATAAAATAATATTTTTCATCGCATCAATAATTTTTTCTTCTTTTTCAACCACACATTTCTCATCATATCACTATTCAAAATCAATTTTTCCCCCGAAAATCCCTCCCAAACAAGCACTAAATAAATCTATATGCAATTCTCTTTTTTCAACAATCAATACATTTTTATTAAATAAATCTATGATTCTATATTTTTATGAACTAAGAGAAATAATTATTAAGTAAATTAAAAACTATTGTTAGTGATACAATTATAAAATGATTGTTGTTTATCATATACAATAGCCAGTAGCTTCTTAGAGATTAGTTACTGCAAAAAATCTAGCTAGTCAAGAAATGAAGCAAGTTGTATTATAATTTATATTCTACGATTCTGATTGTATTATAGCTTATCTTGTATAGTCGATGATGGTATAAAATTAAGTTTCCTAGTACTTAGCTGACATCTCTTATATGTTCAGCCATATATATTCATTTGGTAGTCAACAATGTCAATTAAGCCTCCTATTTTACTCACGAGTTTTAAGTGTAATTTGAATTCGATATATTTAACGGAATAAAAATTGAGAGCATGCAATAGATGAAAAATGAAAAGGGAACACGGAACACCAAGATTCACATGGATGAAGAAAGGCGAATTCGAGAGAGAATTAGGGGAGGGGGAGGGGAGTTTTTACTGGAGAATACTTCACCTTCAGAATTAAACACCGATTTTGGATTCGCACTTTAACAAGACAGATTGCTTAGAAACGATAACTTACCTTAATGCAAAAATCTGTTAGCACCACCGATTTTGGATTCACACTTCTCAGAGAAACGCGATGGTCGATGGAATCAGGAATCGGCGATTCGACAGCAGGCAGTCTGCTCACAGCTGCTTTGGAGGATTTCCAATTTTAAGTTTTAACATGTGAATGATTTGATATAATGAGCTCAATTTTTAAATTGGGTTTGTCAAAAAAAAAAAAAAAATGATTATTGTCATTCCATATAAAGATCAGTGTTTCACAGATGATAAACTTACTTTTTAATGAGCTCCGTCCATATATCTTTGCAGCTAAATGCCTAATTTTGAGTTCAAACTTTTTATAGTTTGCTTATAAACTAGGTTATATCTGATATCCTTTACTAGCTGCCCAAGCATATCAACACGAATATAACAAGAAATCCAATAAAATGACAAAAAAGATTGATGTAGCTGACTCTAAGTGCCTATTCGTTTCCCATTTATTTTGTATTTATTTTATTTTTTGCTTTTATTTTTTATGCCTTTACTTCGCAAATATTATTACTTTTTAGCAATTTGTTAAAAACAACTTAGGTTCCCTTTAAAAATATAATAAATTTATTATTTTTGTTTGATAAAAATCTTAAATTTGAAATTAATTTTAAAAGGAAACGGATAGCGGGGCGGGGACAATGATTCCCGTACCTGCCCCATACCCACTTCGGGATAATGAACCTTGCCCCGTCCGGTCCCATTTACCCGATTAGGCGGTTATCCCCGTCCCGTTCGGGGTGGAGCTCCACGAATTTTTGATTAAACGAATTTTTTTGTCATCCCTAAATATGATAGTACAAGTGGGTATTTTGGTAGTTTTTAGTTAGGTGGATGAATTCCGCACATTAAAGATACTCGGGTTGAATTGTATGAGTGGTGATGTACGGATAATAACATGATCATTAATTGGTCCACATGATCTCTGTCATGGAATGTATTTTGATTAAGCCATCGCAATTTAATTAAATGTAATATTGTTGATAAAAGAAGAATTCATTAATGGAAACGAATTGTTGACCAGACAATATAAATTCAATAATAGAAAGGGCAACACCCTAAGTAGGGATGACAACGTGACGGGTATAGGATGGGTCGACCATTCCAACTCCCATCTCATCGGGTATTTTTGTCACCTTACCTCATCCTCATCCTCATCCCCATACCTATTTAAAGCAGGACGGGGTGTGATAGACCTTGCCCCGTCCCACCTCATTTACCCTATTAGGAGGGTCATCCCCGTCCTGTTCGGGACTAGACCCCAAGAGTTTCGGGTTGAACGGAGTTTTTTGTCATCCCTAACCTTGAGTACCCCTAAATGGGACGAATTTCCCACCTAACCAAAAACTTCCAGAAATTCAATAATTAAATTATAATATTAGCAATCCTCAAGAATTAAATGTTGCCTCTGTGATTTTGTATCGATTAATGTAATATCGAGAAAATTATAATTCTAGTAATAGATAGAAACTTACATATCAACCATGTAAGCTACTGCTTCCGGATCATTCACTGCATGATCGTGCTTAAATTCAACTTCTTTAGTCAACCTAAAATCACAATACAGAAATTAAAAAACATATATAATAGCTATTATCGATTTTATATCTAGCAATGAATAAAACAAAGTGAAAGTAAAAGATTCATACAATTAATTTCGACTTTATTGGGTTTAATTTGTTTTAACTTTTAACTTATTTTCTTGAAGAATAAAATATCCTTATTCCTAGATTTTTTTATTTTTTTATTTTTTTTTCACGTGATTAAGGAAAACAGTGATCGATTTCCGATGCAGTTGTAAATGCCAATTGTCAAATGAGAGATGGCTATTGGTTAGGAACTGAAAGAAGACAGACTGAAGAATGCAAAGGAAATTACTATTCTGACCTCACAGGAGAAATTCTTCTCTACTGCGAACAGGATAAGAATCATGGATATTTTTTAATCGGAATTGGTGATCCGGCGGTGAGGAACTATAAAATTTATAAATTTTCAGATCCGATTTCCACAGTTTCGGATTGTCGTCAAGTTCTGATCATCTCCATTAAACGGTGTTAAATGCAAGTGAATTGTCCTTAACGGTGCATATCAGTTTTAAAGCAGAGTAGATTATCTAAAATTCAAACTGAGATACTGAAACTGCATTTTACGCAAAGTAACTGACCTTTCCGCCACTGTTGAGTTCTTTAAGCTCTTCAACTGTTGAGATTCTCCAAAACTGTTAAAACACTAAAAACTCGTAAGAATTCAATCGATTTGGATTTACAGAGATTCATTAATGAGTAGTATCAATCAATTTTATTCAGTTTGTAGAAATAGGAGAATTGATTATCGTAAACATAAAAACGACATAGTTTCACCTTCTACAATGTGAGGAAGCAATTGCATACCTTTCTCTCACGGCAATTACGTTGACAAAGAGCAGAACACTCAGCAATGAAGAAACAATTATAACTCTGAGAGAAACCGCCATTGTTGCTCAAATTTTTCTTGTTTTCTCTCTTTCTATATATATACACAATGTATCTATTTATGTATCTATATCCCAATTGCAGAGAAAATGATAACAATGTGAGTTGAAGAGAGATCAATGCAGAGCTCTCTTATATAAGAGCAAAGCAGAAAAGGAAGGGCCGAGTACATGTGTTACGACATATACAACTCAATAATATTGTTCAATACATATCCTTAAATTTGATAAGTATACTCTCTTCAATTAAGTCCATATTTGACACTCATTCTCTATCTCATTCTCATTTTCTTCTCTTACTTCATTTCAACCACACATTCTTCCAATAAAATAATATTACACGCAAATCTAAAACTTTTCATAACTTTTCTACCACACATTCTCCTATCAATCACTATTCTAAAAATTTTTATCTTCAAAAACTGGGTGTCAAACACACCTTTGGAGTCAATTGGATTACTTGTTAATACTTAAAAAGGTAATTAGCACGTAACGACTCCACATTCCATTACTATTGTGAAAAATATTCATACCTTTCATTTTCTAGCATTTTCACCCTTATTTCCACATTTCATTGCTCAAAATGTCATTTTCACCTGTTTCCTCAATTAAAAATTATCAAATGACGAATATACCTCCCTCTTTAAATAAAACAAAAAGAAAAAAACTAATTGCAACCACAATACCAATTTTTTTTAAAAGTGCAAATAAGTCACTAATAAATTATTAAAAGAGTAATTAGTATATAATATCCATGTCTTTCACCGTTATTGTAAAAAAGTCCTTACCTTTTTTTTTGACATTTTCACCCTTAATTATACATTTGATTGCGCAAACTATCATTTTTATCAAATTTCATCCAATTTCTCAATAAAAGCTGTGAAATGACGAAATTGGATAAAATTGGATTTTGCGAATCCGGTAAGTTACCGGTTGATGTCTGTGCGCAAGCCCGTTGAAAATATTTCGAATTTTTGCTCTCGGGTGTTTTATTTTCTTTTCCGTAGATTAAGGAAGGGATTATTGTGACTTGTACCTAAAATAACCGTTTTGAAAAATCAATTTAACTTAATTTTAGGATTTGATCCATATCATTATTATCCTTTGTTTGGCATAATAGTT